GAGTGGCCACCTGTGGGTGAGGCATGGAATAATTCCAGGAGCTTYYTGAGATGAGCAGAGGCTGCCGGGATTTCCAGGCGTCCCTTGAAGAAGAGTAGATCATTCTTAATTGTGTACCCGGGGTGCAGCGAGGGATTTGCCAATACTTGGGCCTTCAACTGCTGTAACTCCTTATGGGATTGGGCTTCTTTTCGCAGTAGATCTAGGAGTGGAGAAGTTGGGAAGATACTAATAACTGAAATGACTGTGGGTGCCGTGAGAGGGCGTCCGCCACTCGGTTAGCAGCCCCTGCTTTGTATTCAATTTGGCTATTGAATTTTCTGGATGGCACCAAAGAATGAATAAAATAATTCAACAAGTTGTGTCACTCCCAGCAATAAGCAGCACTATTGCAACACTCTACAATGGAAAACCTAGCTAAAGAAAAAAATTGCTTACATTCTGTTCACGATAATTTGAAATCTATATCTTGTTGTTTGAACCCCCTCATTTGTATACAAGATCTCCACAAGTCTTACTCCCGACACAACCCAAAAGCATAGTAAACTTATCTAAGACTGCTAAACAAATTACTGGTTAAAAAGGACAACTGAAACTGATAGAAAAAAGACAGCTAAACAAGTTAGAATGAACTCCAGACAAATAAACAAACTTCCTAAACTAACCCTATTATTTGCAACTTATTGAAATTAGACAACAGAATTTAGTAATAAATTGTAACTTCCTATAATTATTTAGTAAATGCTAACACTAAAAACAGAAAAGCACAAGTCTGTCTTTTTCTGCTGTGATCTGTCTTCCCCACCAACTTTTAATTTCTCTTTGATTTCTCTTCTAAGTCTGTCTTTTTCTGTTGTGATCTGATATATGGTGGAGTGTTGCCATGACAAAGAATCTTACACTTACATGACACATGCTCCTGTATTTATATTAAAGGTTTATCTATCACTTCTTTCAAAATTCAGTAAAAGAACAAAGGGAAAACTTCATGGCTGGAATCAATAACTAAAAATATGCTGAAAGATATTTTCCTTATTATAAGTCTGATGACTCTGATCTAAAACAACAACAGTAAGGCGTACGTCTCAAGGGGAGGTGGATCCAAGACACCCACCTTCTATAGCTTCAAACAACATAAGAGGACTACACTTCCTGATGCAAGTCCTGAAATGATTGATTGACTAAGGTAGTAAGGTCCTTAAGCCACCACTGCCTTAAATTCTTCCAATAAGACCAATGCCATCCAATAGGCCTTGATCTAGCTTGTAAGGAGGTTATAGTGGCTTTACTGAAACATATGGCCAAGTCTTCCATTAAATTTAAATTGATGCATCTGTCAACTGGGGGGAGGGGATATGATCACATTCAATTCTTCCTTGGGTTTTTGATATCTCTGTCAAGGGATAGGGAGGGATGCATTTCCCTTTTAACTTATTCAATTTGTCTCTTGACCTACCCATGGCTGTTACATTCATAAAAGTAATGGTCCATTGTCAGCAAAGACATGGGGATAATGTGGACAAGGAACTCTGAGAAACCTAAGGCATTGCTGGGGCAACTGATCAGATGGGTTGGATTGGTCTCATCATTTGCCTGAGTGGTGGAAGCAGGGGAAAGGTTGCATCAAGAAGGCTTTTACACACGCCAAGTGGTTGACCTTTATAGTTTTTCCTGTAAATAATTACTAAAACCAGGAAATTGTTTTTTTTTTTCTCTGACCTGCATGGATCTCCGAGTCTCTCACCACTAAACACCTTGTCTTTTAACTGATAAAATTCATTGTATTTGTGTGATTTCTGGTTGTTGATTTCCATAGTGGGGTCTGAGTTGGATTATCTTTTGTGCATCTGAAAGCAAGTCTTGCCATTTCTAGTGCAGATTGACATATTTTCTACTTCAGTCTGCTTGGATCATTCTTTCTCTAATTCTCATGCATTACTGACTTTGTCAGGTGGTCTATAATTTAAACAGGATGAGAAGGAGATACAGAAGACAGCATTTAGGCAATACCGAGTCTTGCGATCAACTACAGACTTTAGATATGGCTACAAACTTGTTGTAATGTCTCTATTACTTAAAACTTGATGCCTGTGCTCTCCTAACTCCTTGCCATTAAAGATTCATCCATACACAACCTAGTGGGCCTTTAAACAGGCTAAGTTTCTTTTTAATGAAAATGCAGGAAAATAGCAATGTAAGAGCTGCTATTTCTACTACAGACGTTATTGAGGTCAGCTTTGATTTTCTTTCTTCCTTTTTGATATATAGGGTCAAATATTAATTTTCCTTTCTATCCCACATTTTGAACAGTTTAATTTTCTCAAATAGGATTGAGGAAATATTGGGTATATGTATATCAGGTACCTTGACCTATGTTTTCTTATGTGAACTCAAGTAGTTAGGTATGGCTTATACACTTGGCAAATATTTTAGCTTCAAATGATGCATTAGAGAATCTAATTCTTGATTGAGTTGGATACTAAAAGAATATCGAGGATTGTTCAGGTGAAAATTTCATAGATAGAGAATCTAGTTCTTGATTGAGTTGGATACTAAAAGAATATTGAGGATTGTTCAGGTGAAAATTACATGGATCCCCTGAATCTTCCGAAATGGAGTGCAGAGATTGTGTTGTGCCTTTTCCTTGGAACAATAACAATCATAGAAATATGCCTTAAATAGAATAGACTGGTGAAGAGGATCCATTTACCCAAACCCAAATAAGTGGGCCAAGATTTGGTTTTTGTTGCCTTAATGTGTTCCATTTCTAATTGGATAACTGGAAAATGCAGGCTATTGCAATTTTATTATTTTGGTTGTTGAGTGAAATGGAATCTAGAAGGTCAATGTTGTTTTTGATGAGATTAGTTTTAACTTTTGAACCAATGGCCTCTGAGCAAATAATAGTCTTACTATTGAACCCTGGAACACTGACAAACTTTGGCAAAAATGTAGTAGCCTGTTGCTTGTATTTTCTGTGTAATGAGACTGAGTTCAAAACTTCCTGAGATTGTTCTATAGTACTTATTTTTGCATTTTTATCTTTACTATAAAATTATTGTACCTTGTTCTCTTATAATCACCCAGCCTATGAATTCAATTTTCAGCTTCCAAGAAAGGAGGAACTCAAAACTGTGCTTGACAAAGTGAAAGACTTTTTTGGGGACGCCAAAGAATCATTCGGGAAGTTAACAGCCTTAAATCCAGCTACACCTGAGGAGCCGATGGAAACTCCCAAAGAAAAATCAAGTAAGAATTGCTGGTATAAATAATACATAATTAATTTAAGAAGCACTCTTCCTTTCTCGTCTACATTGCCAGTCTATCATATATAATAAAATATCTTATACTATGATTTTATGAGTGAAATTTTATTTTTGCACTGCCATAGGGTGAAAGGCTGAGAATGAAGGAGTACTTGTCAACATGGTATACTACAATTATTCCTTAGAGCTCAGAAAGCTTCATTTGCTACCATACTGGCATGGAGCAAGGTTGTGGATGCATCTCGACAGCATAAGATTTTGTACACAGATTCAGTTCACAAAACGCTTTCAGATTTATGTTTTTTTTCAACCTCTCAGTAAAGGAGATATGTTTATTAGATATGATTTGCTAATTGTGAATGGTTGCCATCTTGCATGTACTAACCAGCATTCAGACTCAAGACGGTTGATCTGGGATCAATGAACTCTCCGGGTCCCAGATTATTTTTTATGGTTTTGGTATCTGAATGCTGAATTGCTGATCGGCCAATTTAACTGTCAAGGAGCTTTCCTGTTTTACATCCAGTCTGGTTTACTTTCTTAGTTTTTAACAATAAGGCAACAAATTTGATGAAGATAGATGTTATAAAACACTGAAATGGATCTATTGAACGTCAATAGCTATGGTATACGACTTTCTTACGGATCCGGGATCCCCACACAGGTGGTGCACACTTTTAATAGAGCCCACCAATTAGGAGGTATAATGGCAGATAGCCCTAACCCTAGATCAACCTAGCAGGAGAGAAAACTCAATCTACATGGACCGAGCATTCTTGAGGAAAATTGCTGATGGTCCAATTTACTGCATGGTCTCAAGCATCTGGTATACAGACTTCCCAGGTGCGAAAGTTCCTTAAGGCTCAGTTCGGAAGGAGTACAAATACAAACATGTACAATGCAAAACTTTACATTTTGTATTATTTTATATGTATTTGTACTCTTTCAAACTGAGCTTAAATTGTAAAATTTTATATTCAATATCCCAGAAACAACGGAGCAAAAAGCTTACCTAAAAGTAAAAAACAAATGGAGCAGCAAAAAGAAATATGTTATTGACGATGATTCATCAGTCATCCTCACTCATGGGGTCATGGCACTACACAGTAACACAGATAACAGCCAAATGCTGCTGGTAGTAGCTAGTAAGTAGTAACCAGTACCAGCCAACGAACCAAGTATCGATCGAAAGAGGTATCATCCAGTTCTTTTGAACTCATAATCCTTAATGGTAGTAGGAACAAGAAGCAGAGCAACCTTTTTTCTAGTAGCCAGGCCAAAAATCTCAGTGAGGTCGACATCATCAGCAGTGACGCCGTTGGGCAGAGCCCAATCGAAGTGATACAAGAATCTAGCCAGTGCTATCTCTATGGTAGCCAATCCAAAGGAGTAGCCAGGGCAACCCCTTCTCCCTCCCCCAAATGGGAGTAACTCGAAGTCCTGGCCCTTGACATCAATGTTGGTGCCAATGAATCGCTCAGGGTTGTACTCCAGGGGATGCTCCCAGGAGAGTGGATCCCTTCCAATTGCGTAAGTGTTGATGAAGACTCGAGTCTTGGCCGGTATCTCGTAGCCGTCGAGAACACACTTCTCTATCGACTCTCGGGGAACCAGCAGAGGGGCCGGCGGGTGTAACCGTAAGGTCTCCTTGATCACGGCCTTCATGTAAACAAGTTGTTGCAGATCTCCTTCCTCTACTCTCCCTTTGCTGCCAAACACACTTCTCACTTCTGTTTGCGCTTTCTTCATCACGTCTGGGTGTCTAGCCAACTCTGTCATGGCCCATTCCAGCGTGGCCGATGTTGTATCAGTTCCAGCAACAAACATGTCCTGTTGCACAAAAGCTCAGAAAGAGTTCGTTATATTGGTATTTAGTTATTTACTATTCACGCCTGCATGGCTGTATCAATCAATCCCGGAGGCCGGAGCCGGGATTGATGTAAAGGGAAAATGGAAACAGAGTTGCGAATGAGTTACCAGAACGAGGGCTTTGAGATTGTCGTCTGTAATGGGCACCTCTAAGTCGCCACCTTTCTGCACTCGAAGCAATACGTCTACGAAATCCTCCCTATCGGAAGCATCGTCGGTTGTTGCTGCACTACCACTACTAGTCTTTCTCTTCTCTAAATGCTCTTTGATGATTTCGTCACACACTGTTCTCAAATCTCCCAGGTTCCTCTCCAATCTCCTCTTCAGCCCGGTCAACCAATTGACCCACTCCAACGCCGGATAGAAATCGCCTATACTGAACCCGGCAAACAACGCCTGCGCCTCCGTCAGTATCTCCGGCAACCGGCTTTTCGACCCTCCTGCTCCTTCGACCCTCGACTCGTCGTCTACGTACCTACTCCCGAACGCGACGCGACACAAGACGTTATTAGCCAACGAGAAGAATCGGTGGCTCATATCGGTTTCTTTCCCCGACAGCGCGGAAAGAGAAGCCAGCAACAGGTTCACCTCCTCGTCTCGAATACGTTGGAAGGAGCTGACTCGTTTCGAGCTAAGTAACTCGGTGACGCAGATTTTCCGGGCTTGGCGCCAGTAAGGGCCGTAAGCGGAGAAAGTGACGTCGGAGCATCCGAAGGAGAGATACTGAGCGGCGATGATCTGGGGTCTGCTGGCGAAAGCGTGGTCGTGGGTCTTGAGGACTTCGCGGGCGAGTCTAGCGGAGGAGATGACGAGGGAGGGGATGCGACCGAGCTGGAGGTAGATGATGGGGCCGAGTTTCTGCGCGAGTTGGGAGAAGGAGTGGTGGGGCATGTCGGTGAGGAGGTGGAGGTGTCCGAGTATTGGGAGCTTCGGAGGTGACGGAGGGGTGATCGCCGGCGATCTGTTCCATTTAGTAAGGGTGACGACAAGTACTGTGATAATAACTGAAACGGAAAGGGTGAAGAAAGCGGTAAGATCCTCCATTTGTGACAGAGAGAGAGAGAGAGAGAGAGAGAGAGAGTGAAAGCTTGGTAGAAGAGATAAGGGGGAGTGCCGGACTGGGGAGGAGTTAAGGCTTTATTTAGAACGTTTAAATGGCTTTACATAAACCGGTAAACGATTAAAAATATATTTTTTGGTTGATGATTGTTGATTTAATGATTCCTATGACAGTGTTTGCAGGAAACTGTTTATTATCTTGATGTCTCTATACGGTTACACTCCTGCATTTTCAAATGTAGAAACTACGTATTCTTTATTAACTGACCCTTTTAATTACTTTTTCTATTTGTAATTATTATCCAAATTCACACGAACTTTTTGTTACTATATTCTGTCATTTATGTATTAATTTTAATTATAATTAATGACTTGACAAATCAATAATTTAACATGGTCAAAGGAGACAAGGATAAGAGAGTGAAGGGAGGGGGGGACAAACGGTCTCATCACTCATGTATGTGCCGTTGCGTGATTGGGTTTGAGTTTGATTAGTTGGAGTAGCTGTTCAAATTCAATCCGGTGATGAACTTTGATGTTGAGTTATGAGTTATGACCAATATTTTAGAACTGCTGCTCAACCGTCCGGTTTCTAGACCAGTGGTTCAACCGTTTGGTTCAAATGGATCACTTCATGACATTTTAAAAAATAAAAAATAATTAAAATAAAAATTGATCAATAACCATTGTTTAGGTCCAATGTTCGGGTGAACGGGTGGCTGACCACTTCAATGCATTGGTGGAATCAGAAATTTTCTCTTGGGGTGGGAGAGCAAGGAGATAATTAAGAGAGAATGGAGATTGAAGACTAGGCAAAATTTTCTACAATACATACACCTATGAGATGTATTATACTATTTTTCATCTAAAATCTAATCAAAAAGTTCAGTTTGAAGTTTCTCTTAAGGTTAAAATTAAAAAAAAATATGAATCCTATTAACTTTGGGCTGGGTTAAGATTGAGGAGGCAGTGTCAAATTAGACAATTCCAACCCTGCAATATAAAGTAAATAAGTCATTTAAATTCAAACCCAATTTGAAAATTCAATTCAAACAAATTGTATTGATACAGGAAAAAAAATAATGGATTATATTAAAGTTAGATTGGGGATTTAAAGACATCGAACAAGTAATAACGTGACTCTACCCACCTAATAATATTTTCTCTGAAAAGTTGTGTGGGGGGAGTCCGGATGAGGTGGAAACAAAATCATGCACACTGGACTCATACCCGATAACCTATCACAACTGAACACTCCAGTGTTTAGTACAGATGAGGGGCACCCGTGATAAGTAGACCAGCCCGGTGTGCATGATTTTGTCTCGGGGAGTATTAACCCAACCTGATTATGGGTATAGGGGATGGGTTACCCCTAAACAAGTTTCAAAATATTAATACTCATATTGGACAAATTGGTACTGCATTTTGTTGACGTTTTGTGTGGCAGCGAAATTCAACAGCCACAATAAATGACGTCGTTTGGTGTGGCTGCTGAGATTTCAACAGCCACAATAAATGTTCTACCATTTCGATTCCACCAAAACTGCCCATTTAATTCGACTCCTCAAATTCTGTCTCTCCATCTTTCCACCAGAATTCTAGGGGGCATGTTCCATTTTTCTTCTATAAAAGGGGTGCCTCCTGGGGGTAGTGTGTGCATAGAGTGAGAGCATTAGAAAGTTGAAGAGATTGGGAAAACTCCATTGCCATCTTCTGGCAAGATCTGCTCCTATTCGGTTTGGGATCGGTTTTCTTCTTCACTACTCCCATTAAGGATTCTCTCACACCAGATCAAAGCAATCATCTATGCTTTTGAGTGCTTCAAGGCTTTGTTAAAGGCATTTCGGCACTAGTAAGGTGGTCAGTTTGTAGTTCTCCTGTGGACGTAGGTCTCTTTGACCGAACCACGTAAATCTGGTGCCATCTTCACCTTTCTTTTGCTCTTATTATTTGTTTTATAATTCACATATTTCTCAATTATTTTCTTGTTTGCCATACTAATTAATCGGTAATTCAGAGTTTAAATCCTAACAAACTGGTATCATAGCATTGTTTTGGGATTATTTACCGATTAATTTTGCTACTAATGACATCAATGAAGTTTGATATTGAGAAATTTGATAGATTTGTGAATTTTGGTCTATGGAAGCTCAAGATGAGAGCGATTCTGATTCAGAACGGCTTGGAGAAAGCCTTGGCGGGGCAAAAGAAAAAGCTTGAATCCATGTCCGATGAAAAGTGGAAGGAGATTGATATGAAAGCCATGTTGGCTATTCATTTGTGCTTATCGAATGAGGTTCTTCGTGAAGTTGCTAAAGAAACCTATACAGCAGAATTGTGGCTCAAGTTGGAATCACTCTATATGATAAAGAGCGTGACCAATCGGCTTCTGCTGAAAAGCAGACTTAAGGACCTTCGTCTTCGGGAAGGTAACTCGATTAAAACCCACCTTGATGAGTTTTTCTCGATTGCCATGGATCTACAAAATATTGATGTTGTAATTGATGATGAAGATCTGACTATCACTCTTTTATGTTCTTTACCCGCATCATATAAGCATTTTAGAGAGACCTTATCGTATGGGCGTGAGGAGATTACAGTTGAAGATGTAAAGAATGCATTGTTACAACGCGAACTGATTGATAATCAACTGACCAATAACCCAAATAACTCTACAGCCGAGGGTCTCATTGTTCGTCGCAGGCCATCTAAAAGAAGTGGCAGCAGTAAGTCAAAGGGTCGTTCTAAGTCAAAGCATCGTAATTTGACTTGCAACTACTGCAAAAAGAAAGGTCATGTTAAGGCTGAATGTTTCAAGTTGCAAAATAAGTAGAAACATCAGGCAAGTGGGGACACAAAGAAAGATCCTCAAGCCGAAGCAAGTGTTGCGACGGATGAGTCAGAGAATGATCTTCTGCTAATTGCAGATGCAGTTGCAAGGAAAGGTTCAGAATGGATTATGGACTCAGGATGTTCTTACCACATGTGTCCCGACAAAAGTGCATTCTCCACATATGAGAATTTTGATGGTGGAGTTGTTTTGATGGGCAACGACGCAGCTTGCAAGGTTGTCGATAAAGGGACCGTCCGGGTACATATGCATGATGGTATTGTGAGGACATTAAATGAAGTCCGTCATGTTCCTGATCTGAAGAAGAACCTAATTTCTTTGGGTACACTCGACTCCAGGGGTTGCAGATATTCAGCTGAAGGTGGAGTTCTTAAGGTAACCAAAGGCGCTTTAGTAGTTATGAAAGCTAACAAGGTTGGTAAATTATATGTATTGCAGGGAAGTACTGTGATAGAATCTTCTGCTTTGGTCTCGTCATCCATGTCCGAGGAAGATCTTACAAAGATGTGGCATATGAGCGAGAAATGGATGACTTCTTTGAGCAAACGGGGTTTACTTTGTGGGCATGTCACATGTACTCTTGAATTCTGTGAACATTGTGTGTTTGGTAAACACAAAAAGGTTAGCTTTGCCAAAGGGATACATAGGACCAAAGGTACACTTGATTACATCCATTCAGATTTATGGGGCCCTTCTCGTGTTTCTTCAAAGGGTGGAGTAAATTATCTTCTGACATTCATTGATGATTTCTCCAAAAAGGTATCGGTGTATTTTCTCAAAAATAAAAATGATGTATTTGGAGTCTTCTTGCAGTGGAAAACTATGATCGAGAAGCAGACAGGGAGGCTGATTAAAAGGTTGAGGACTGATAATGGGCTCGAGTTTTGTGAGTCTGACTTTACAAATTATTGTTTGAAGGAATGTATCGTTAGACATCGCACCTGTGTTGGTCGACCACAACAGAACGGTGTGGCAGAGCGGATGAACCACACACTCTTGGAAAGGGCTCGTTGCATGTTGTCCAATGCAAGTTTGGATAAGTCCTTTTGGGCCGAGACAGTTTCCACGGCAGCCTATTTGGTGAACCGATCTCCGCATTTAACTCTCAAGGCTAAGACTCTATTTGAGATTTGGTTAGGTACTCCTACTGACTATTCATCTTTAAGAATTTTTTGTTGTCCTGCTTATACTCATGTTAACGATGGAAAGTTAGAACCTAGAGCCAAGAAATGTATTTTTGTGGGCTATGGCTCCTGTGTAAAGGGTTACAAGTTGTATTGCCCTTCGAGCAAGAAAATTATTATTAGTCGTGATGTTATATTTGATGAATCACACTTGTTATCTCCAAGGAAGGAGGATTTTGTTGCTGGTGATTCAGGTACATCACAGGATGACCGGATGCAGGTGGAGGTGGAGCCCAGTCCATATTCATAGCCTTCGCATACTATTGCCAAAGATAGACCGAGGCGACAGATAAGACCACCAAGCAGATTTGATGATTGTGTGTCTTATGCATTGACCGTCGCTTGTGAGGTAGATAGCACTACCGATCCGACCACTTACGATGAAGCTATATCTAGTCCTGACAGTGGTAAGTGGTTAGTTGCCATGGAAGAGGAGATTGCATCTCTCAAAAAGAATGGCACATGGGAGCTTGTATCACCACCACCAAAGAAGAAAAATGTTGGGTGCAAGTGGGTCTACAAGACTAAGGAGGGTATTCCTAGTGTTGAGGATGCTTGACACAAAGCAATGTTAGTGGCACATGGTTTCAGTCAAGTTGCAGGTATTGACTATATCGAAGTCTTCTCCCCTTTTGTTAAACATTCTTCTATTCGTACCTTGCTTGCTTTAGTAGCTATGCATGACATGGAATTAGAGCAGTTAGACGTTAAAACTGCATTCTTGCATGGTGATTTGAAAGATAAGATTTATATGAAACAACCAAATGGTTTTGTTGTGGAAGGAAAGGAAGACCATGTTTGCTTATTGAAGAAGTCTCTGTATGGACTTAAGCAATTTCCAAGATAGTGGTATAAGCGCTTTGACACTTTTATGAATTCTAGTGGTTATTCCAAGAGTGCCTTTGACAGTTGCGTTTATTTCAGGAAGCTCTCTGATGATTCATTCATTTATCTGTTATTATATGTCGACGACATGCTCATTGCCTCTAAGAATAAGTCTGAAATTGTGAAGTTGAAGTCTCTTTTGAACAGTGAGTTTGAGATGAAGAATCTGGGTCCAACGAAGAAAATTCTAGGTATGGAG